TTCGGTACTGCATCACGTTTTCTTTATCATGCCTGTATATTGCATCCATTTTTTATGCATTGGGGTCTGGATTATCCGCATTTGTGGGATTCACTATCTTGAGATGATGCTCATGTCACGTCTTAGCATCCGGACTCCTAGATGCATGTTATGTATGTATTGCATTAGTAGTTTGTATATAGGTTCATGCAAATATGTATATATTTGTATGTGTCTTGGAACTCGCCTTGGAGTACTAGGTGAGAGTTTTTAAGCTTTGGCATATTAAAAAAAGAGGGGTGAAAGAGAGATTATTGCAATAATGAATTGATTTAGCTGAACTACTGTTGAATCTAACAAATCATACTAAATAAAGAAAAGAAATAATCTAGGAGTTCCAGAACTACACAGGGAAGCATTCCCCTGAAACTGTCTGTTCTGTCCTTAAAAGGGAATGGCCAGCCAGACAAAAAGTAAGCCGGCCGCACTAGGAAGTGGTTGGCCGAATTCTTCCTTTGGTTAAGGAATAGGCTAGTGCAAAATTCTAGGACAGAAGCTAAAAGGGCACTTTCTAGGGGATGCTCATTCTTTCTGCCTAGATAGGCCAAAGCCCTCAACAATGATAAAATAAATATATACAACAGATATTTCGCAATAAATCAATGATTAAATAAGTCAAAATCAAGAACAAATTCAATCCCTTGAAATGGATAGGAACCTACATCTTCTCTTTGTGAATAAGCGCAAATTAATATCCAAATCCATGTTATTAAGCGGAGAGCATAGATTAATGCAAATCATTTCTTGGCGGAAGCTCTGCTTATTAAAACAAGAGATTTATCAAACTTTGTGGAAACTCCTCATCTAGTTATAAAGCCGGTAAAGACCACCCTCATTCTTGCCTTGGAGTATAATTTTCTTAGTAAGTTGATCCTTGACCAGAATATGAGAAGGGTAAATTCAAAAATTACATTATTATCTTTAGTAAATTGATAAATAGACAGTAACAATTTTTTAAATGTAGGAACATGAAGAATAGAAGTAAGACGAAAAGAGGTAGAGGGAGAATGTAGTGTAGAAGATCCAACATGAGTAATAGGAATGTCCATACCAATACCAACGAGAAGATGAAAAGAGCCATGATAATCATCAATTTGGAAGAAGGATGTGAGATCGGGTGTGACATGATTGGGTTGCACCAGTATCTAGAAATCAATCTAGGTGAGACGAAGTAGAGGAACTAGGACCATAATAGGTACTGGAAGGGGAACTCGAACCATATGTGGCAGAATGAGCACTTGGAGCGACCATCTGATCAAATTGATGATAACGTTGAGAAACAGTATGATTTGCCAAATTACAAATTTGACACTGAACACGGATGTTGGTAGGAAGAGTTAGAAGAAGTCCAAACCCACCATATGACGAACTAGAGCCATGGAAATGGGGATGTGAGCTGGACCCATGAGAAAATCTGTCACGCTCACGACCCCAACCCCGACCGCCACGAGATAAACCACCATGATCGCGAGGAGCAGACTGAGTAATGTGAGCTTGTAGAGAAACCGTAGGAGTGGAGGATGGTGAGTCATGATTAAGAAATTCATGACTTAGAAGGCTATGTAGTCGAGAAAAGGAAATAGCATTACAACAAAAAGCACTTTTGGCGACTAATTTTTTGGCCCCAAAAGTCATGTTTTAGTCAGCTAAGGTTTTTAGCAACTAAAAGTTTTGGTCGCCAGGTTGGTCGGTGAACAATTGTTGGGAAAGGTTATTGGCAACTAAAAAAAGTTTAGTTGCTAAAAGTATTAAATTGCTGACCAATTTTTTAGTCCCCAAAAGCGTTAAAGTGAAATTAAATATGACATTTTCAATGGCTAAAAATTATTGTCACCAAAACTTGAGAATTATTTTTAACGACTAAAATTGTAGTCGGCAAATAATTTTTTTATTTCATGTTCTTATTTTTTTGTTACCAGATATTTTAGTCGCCTAAAGTTTGATTTTTTTTTTTTTTGCTACTAAACTTTTAGTCTCCAAAAGTCTGATTTGTTTTGCCTACTAAACCTTTAGTCACAAAAAATATTTTGTTCATGTTATTTTCGTTAGCTACTAAATAATTAAGTCGCCTAATGTTTGATTTTTTTCAACTACTAAATGTTTAGTAGCCTAAAGTCTGACTTGGTTTTGCCTACTAAACCTTTAGTTGCCAAAATATTTTTGTTGTTTGTTTGCAATGTTGTAACTACTAAATATTTTAGTCGCCTAAAGTGTGATTTGTTTTCTGGCTACTAAACTTTTAGTTGCCAAAAAAAATTTTCCAAACTTTTTTTAGCTACTACCTCTTTAGAATCTAAATTATATACTTCCTTTTGGTTGTTTAGTCGCCAAAAACATAATTTTATGTTGTTTCTCCAAATTCTAATTTGTTTACGACCTGTATGTATTCCGTGCAACCTGTACTACGTATATGAACAAAGCAATACATATATTATCAATCATTACAAAATAGATCTGCATCCATTTCACTTCCAACCATCCAAATATATATATATATATATATATAACTTTTAATGTAAAATTCCATACAAATAATAGTCCAACCTGTACTATATAGTGCAGACTAAAATAATACTTCTATACAAAACATAACAATTAAGTTACAAAAATCAAGCCCTCTGTGTACAAAAAAAATATATGTACTACCATGCAAAATGGCCATTCGTTGTGGTACAAATTGCATAATTTGTACCATGACAAAAGGAAATATGTATACCACGCCAGTAATTATCAAGTCGCTGCAAAAAATATATGTACGAGTAATACTAATCCACTCAAAAGCAAAGGACGACAAAATTATTAGGACTATACAAGAGTCGAAACTGTTCGCCATACGCAAAAAAGGAATATCCACAAGTCCACGTGAAAAGTCATCTACAAAAAAAATTGCATGCATTAGTGAGAAATGCATGCTTCAATGTCTCTATCTATTCATGTTTTTTAAAACTACAACAAAATTCCTTAATAAACCAACAATTTCACAAGAGTTTTATGAGCTGCAAATACCATATTCTACGTCTCTCCACCAGCTTTAATAGTAGACACTGTAGATTTAATGTTCGGGTGCTCCTTAAACTTCTTTCTTAATTTTAAATTGAAAATGAAATGGGGAATGCTCTTTTTTGTACTAAACAACAACAATTTTGTAATTGACTTAGGATACATGGATTGATTGTTGTACAATGGAATTGGATTTTCCAAGATGGAAACATGCTTCGAAGATGCCTAAATTGAGGACAATACTAATGATTAATATCAGTGTGTTAATGCCATATAAGTTGGAAAATAGATTCATGGTAACTATGTTTTTTGGAGGATTCAGGTGTTTTTGTTGTTTATAATTTATATTGAAAATAACCCACTATAGTGTGCTCTCATCTTTCTATGCTATGAAGCCAGGCACTCCATTTTTGTTGTCGTAGTAGTGTCCAACACATGTTGGACAAGATACCACTCAGATATGTGTCGGACATGCCATGTGGCATTTATATTAATTTTTCTAGTGGACATGTTGGAGGACATGTCAAGGACACATGTCCTATTTCTAGACACACCACAGGACATGTTTTGGGTTTTATTATAATTCTGGAAAGGTGGTAGAGTGCTGTACTAATTTGAAAACAAGTGGGTGGGAATTGAAAAAAAAAAAGAAAAAGAAAAAGAAAAGAAGAGAATGATCATAAGGTTGGACATTTCATCCTGTTTGGTTCAGGGATGCTGCCCACAACATCCATACATTGGTTCGACACTGTTTTGCATTTTCGCCCCCCCAAAAGCCCTTTGCAACTAAATTGAAGGCGTTTTTGGTTCTAAATCTCAAACTACGAGTGAAAATTACATGTCGTCTATGGCCGCAGGTCTTATTTGTCACAAGGATGCTGCTCGTGACATCCATACATTGGTTCGGGGGCTGTTTTGCATTTTTGCCCGTCGAAAGCCTTTTTTCGACTAAGTTTAAAGCATTGTCGGCTCTAACTCTCAAACTACACGTGCAAACTACATGTCGTCTGTGGCCACAGGTCCTATTTGTCACAAGGATGCTGCCCATAACATCATACGTTGGTTCGACGGTTGTTTTGTATTTTCGCCCCCCGAAAGCCCTTTTTCGACTAAGTTTAAGGCATTTTAGACTCTTACTCTCAAACTACGTGTGCAAATTACATGTCGTCAGTGGCCACAGGTCCTATTTGTCACAAGGATGCTACCCGTAACATCATACATTGGTTCGGCGGTTGTTTTGTATTTTTGCCCCCCGAAAGCCCATTTTTTGACTAAGTTTAAGGCATTTTAGACTCTAACTCTCAAACTACGTGTGCAAATTACATGCCGTCTGTGGACACAAGTCCTATTTGTCACGAAGATGCTGCTCGTGACTTTTATACATTGGTTCGGGGGTTGTTTTGCATTTTTGTCCCCCAAAAGCCCCTTTTCGACTAAGTTTAAAGCATTTTTGGCTCTAACTCTCAAACTACGTGTGAAAATTACATGCCGTTTGTGGCTATGCTTCCTGTAACATCCATACATTGGTTCAGGGCTATTTTGTATTTTCGCCTGCCGAAAGCCCTTTTTCGATTAAGTGTAAGGGGTTTTTGGTTCTAACTCTCAAACTACGCGCGTGAATTACATGCCGTCTGCGGCTGTAGGTCCTATTTGTCACTACAAAGGTGGCCATGACATCCATAGAGCGTTTGGGGACTGTTTCGGATTTTCACCCCACGAAATGACCTATTTCACCTACGTTCAATGCGTTTTCAAGCTCTAACTCTCAACCAAAGCAAGTTTGAAAGTAGGTTGGATAATGTAAGTTGGATTATTTTTATTTTTCTATTTTGAACTTAAATGAATGTATGTTGTTCCTAGTCTGCTAAACAGGTTGGAAGGAAATTGCATTTTCAGTAGTAATCTTTTTTGGCTTCAGTCTATGTTAAGGATTGTTAGCTCAATTGATTGCTGCTGATGCTTCTTAATAACGCAGAACTTATGTGGGAAATAAAAACAACAGAAGTATTGCAGACTAAAGTATCCTATTTCCTTCAAATCAACCTTCTATCAAATTTGTTGAGAAGTTGTCAAAACAATTCTACGTGCTTCAAAACAATTATGTCTTCATCATCTTTTTTTTTTTTTTGGTAGACCATTTAGTATCATATCAATTATATTTTTCTTATCAACTGTTTGTGTCTCATCTACAACTGTTTGTGTATCATTTGGCGGCTGTGTCTCATCACATAAAGTCATCAATGTGGCAACATCATGTGGAGATGCTGTTGCGGCCGACACTATGTCGCCACTTGATGCTTTCTTACGCGACCCGTCTTTATCCCAGGAACCATGCTTGCTGCAATAAGTACAAAACAGACATGAACTAAAAACATCACATAAAATCATTGATGTTGAAAAGCAAAAAGAATTATTCACAAAAGCTAATCAACCATGAAATTACGATATAACACAATATGCAAAAAATTTTAAAATACTTGGCAAACAGAGGGCTTCTACATAAACCAATGTTCAGTATACATTTCAAATTAAGAGGTTCATAAATTTGAAAGGTTCAATATTGTGCAAAAGTGATGAGGGGCTATCCAGGAGTATTGCTGTGTTAAGAGTAGGTCCTGCATTATGCTGTGTGTGGCTGCTGCTGGTTTCTGTGTGTGGCTGCTACTGGTTTGTATGTTGGGTGTGGCATGTTGCTGTGTGTGCTGTTGTGTGGCTGTGAGTTACTGCTGCTGTTGGTATCTGTTGTGCCTAATGTTGAGCTACCTGTTGTGCTGCTGCTGTGTGTGGTTGCTGCTGGTTTTTGTTTTTGGTGTGGCATGGTGCTATGTATGCTGCTGTGTGGCTGTGTGTTGCTGTGTGTACTGCGTTCAATATTGGGCCTTGTTTCCTCTATTTTGTCTAGCAACTGTTGGTTCCTTGCCAACGTTGTGCTTTGTTCCTATAATTCTTTTTTTTCTTCTTTCCTCTTTATTGATGTAAATCTCATATGAAATGTATATTTTTGTCATCAATAAATATTCTCTCAGATGTATAAAATTATTTTTTAATTATTATACGTGTGGACGCATACAAAATTTTAACTTGAATAGTTTTAAAAAAGAAATTATACATGCTAATGTAATCATATAAAAATTAAAAAATAAATTATAAAGAATTATTATTATTATTATTTTTGGGGTGGTGGGGGGTTTGGATTACTTCAATTTCATTCTCTTTTTGGATAACTTGTAAATAAAAATAAAATAAACTAATCAAAAAAATTGACATGTATAAAATATGTATTAATATAAAATTATAGGTGTTATGTTTTCTAGATATTTTACAAAAAAATAATCACTAACTATTATATATAAGATAAAAAATGAGAAAAGTAAGAGAATAAATAAGAGTCTAAATATATATATATATATATATTTAATCAAGCCAAATAGATAATGATCACATTTATTATTATTATTATTATTATTATTATTATTATTATTATTATTATCAAACAATATATAGATAGACACACACAAACAAAATGGTTTAGTGATAACAGCCAAATAGAATAGCATAGGTCTTATAGCTTTAACAAATCAATAATATGTTCTTCATCTTCCCTCTTCATCTTCCTTCTTCTCTCTCTATCCCTCTTCCCCCATTTTCATCTTTTTTTTTTCCCGAAAGAAGCAGTTCGGAACTGTTATGTAACTGTGTGTAACAGGCCGTTACGGCACCATTACAACCGCTACGGCAATTGCTACGACTAACACACTTGTGAATCTCAATCACATCGCAAAAGCAGCGGTAACGCGTGGTGCCTATCGCTGCAACCGTTACGTAACACCGCATTTTGAAACCTTGGGCGTAACGGTATCTAACGGACCGTTACGGCCATTATGTAATACCAAAACGACCGTTACATATGTGAATTTCTGTCACACCGCTATAGAGACCGTAACGGGTAGCGGTAACCACCACAACCGTTATGTAATGGTTGCGGTTGCTTTTTAAAACCTTGCTCACAACTTAATGACAAGAAAATGACAAAGTGCTAAAATAAGAGACAATGTATGGTTTTTGCCTATAAGAAATGGTCGCCTAATTTTTTTACATAATAAAATATTGAAATTATAAAACTAGACTCATAATAGACCGGCCATACAAAGGTCTAACATTTTCTTAAATTCATATTTGAATTCCACAGAAATAAGTGTAGAACTTAAGAGTAAAACAACTATATTTCCTCATGTCTGAGTATGACTACTACCTTTCTTGTTGTTCAAAACGGAAATAAATGGAAATAATGCTTCCACTAATGATCAAGTAGTTAAAAAGGAGATGTTAACTTCTCGGGAACTATACATAGTAAGAAATTTGGCTTTATGTTGAAAAGGAGCATACATGGTTATTGGACTAAAGTAATTGACCCAAAAAACAATCATTTCCAGTAACAAATGAAGACAAACTTTACACCCTTTTAATCCCAGAAACGCCTGCAATCTCTTAACCCTCTGTTTCTGTCTCTCATTGCATTCCGTTATGAATGTCATCACTCCTTTCTGTTCCATGTACACATCAAGATTCAAGTAAGTTCTATGCTTCTCTCTCTCTCTCTCTCTCTCTCTCTCTCTTAAAGTTTTAGGCCTTAATTTGTTTTTCATATGATTGTTGTTGATGTTAAGTGAAAATGCATTTATTTGGAAGCAGAATTATGATCCAATTAACTAGAAAAAGCAAAGGTACACCTCTATATATGAATGTTTTTTCATGGTTTGTGTTCCAAATTTTATTTTATTTGAACATTTAAGTTTATCTAACTCACTTCAAAATGTGAGTCAATGTGTTTTTTTTTTTTTTTTTTTTTCACTATTGCAATTATAGCATCATAGCATCAAAATCCAATTCCCATATTCACCCATGGTCAATAAATACACAATCGCATTTTACCAACCATATATGCAAATAAATACACAATCAGGATTAGGGCTTTCACACTAATGAGAGAGAAAGGAAAAATTGGGGGAAAGGTATCAAACCACTTAAATCAAACCCATTTTGGAAACCAAGCCCATAAAACTGTACAAATCAAACCACTTGAACCAAACCATTTTAACAAATCAACAGAAATTAAAGTAAAAAATTCATATAAAACCCTAGAGTTTTGTGTGAGAAATGCGGAAATAGAGGAAGGGGGGGGGAGAGAGAGAGAGAGATAAAACCTGCGATTTGCGGCAGTGACGGTGGTGATTTGCAGCGGTGGCAGTGGCGACGTGTGACGGTGGCGAGTGACAGTGGTGCACGAAGGTGGTGGCCGTCGGTGGTGAATGGGGTTGAGATTTGGTGGTGACTTTGTTCTCTGTGTGTCACAGATAACAGAGAGCAAAAAGTGTATAACCAAGAGGGGCTGGTGCCAATATTAATTCCTTTCCCTCTAAAAGAAATTTTTACCTTTAGTGACTAAACAACTTTTTATCAGAAAAGGTTATGTAAATAACGAATCAACTTTTCTACCCAAACTATTTTAATAGTGACTAATACTTTTGTAGCCAAAAGTATCATTTCGCTACTACTTCTTTTTTTGGTTAGGAAATAGTTATTATTCGGTGATTTCATTTTTTTAGTCACCAAAAACTCACATTTGGCGACGATATTATTTGGTTGGCAAAGAGTAACCCAAAAAATTGCGTAGTATTTAGCGACTGAACTGCCTTTTGTCGGCAAAATATTGTATACGCCGACCAAATTAAATTTTTCGTAGCCTAAAATATAGACTATTTCTGACTAATACGTTTTTTTGTCGCCAATTACCTCATATTTATCGACTAAATTTTCTTTGGTCGCCAATACATAACATATGTTGACTAAAATAATATAGTTGCTAATTCTTGAACAACGCTGACTACAGAATTTTTTAGTCACCGAAAATGGCACTTTTGGTGACTAATTTTATTTTAGTTACCAAATGTGTAATTTCTTGTAGTGCAGGTTCCGATTGGGCCGTAAGTGTTGTAATTAGATCTTTGAAGTCAGAGTGAAGACCTTGAAAGACATTTAGATTAAACTCGGAAAAGGAGAGCGGTGTGCCAGCAGCAGCAAATTCATTAGCAAGAACTTTGGCCTCATGAAGAAAGACAGTAGCTGTGCGATCATTTTGTTGCAATTGTTGAAGACCTAAGCGGAGTTGAAGAAGTCGAGTGTCAGACGGAAACGCAAGGGACTGCTTAAGAGTGAGCCAGAAATCACGAGAAGAGGAACACCCAACGGCAAGAGGTAGGAAGTCTGACAAATGGCATAGGCTGGATTAGAAGTTGGAACTCTATCGACATTGGTAGTCGAGGATGGGCAGGGGAAGGACCCATCAATATATTGATATAGTTGCTGGCCACGTAGGTAAGGAAGAAGTTGGGTTTTCCAATACAGGAAATTTTTGAGGTGAGTTTGAGAGAGAGAAGTGATGGGCATGGTTGAGAGAAACAGGTGATGAAGATGATGCAGCGACAGAAGTAGTACTCAAAGAGGAAATTTCAGATGCCATTGATTTGCTCTGATACCAGCTTGGAGTAAATATTTGTATTATAAAATATTCAGAAGTGTTTCTATGTGTTACAATATAAAGTGAGTGTGCTATATATACAACCCAATTTACATGATAAGGATGGATACAACTAAAGTGATAAAACAGAGTGATAAGATAGACTACAAGATAGGCCACAATCTTGATGATCACTACTTAATATGGACATCCATGAATCTGATCTCAACAAATGAAAATGTAGAAGTTAGAAACTTTTGACAAGGCTTTGAAATCATGGAAATAAGATAAATGACATATTGTACTCTACATCTTTCAATGAAAATGTAAAACAATGTATAAACACAGCGGATGAAAAATTATGGTTATACCTTTTTCTTCAGAGTCTGAATTGAAGGATCTCGTGGGTAAATCACGTGCTTCCTAAATCTGATCAATCAACCCAGCAATGGAGTGATATTACAGAATGAATATCACCCACACATGTCACAGTGCAAAATGGCTCTTGATCGTTGTATTTTTGAGAGAGAGTCAGTATATGGGAAAAACATACGACATACGTTGTTTTTCTCTTAATCACCCATATCCCATATCATATCAGATATATAGGATAATATCTTATCTATCCATATCAGTTGATATGATAGATATGGATATCCTGAGTGGTTATCCAAGTAAGTTTTGAATTCAAATTCAAACTTACATCTATAAGGTTCAAAAGGTTCAAAGGGTCATGCCACATGGGCGCCCAATTTCTAACATCTCCTACTCGGACATGAGTTGGCATGACATTGCCACATCTCTATCTCAATCTCCCCAAAAAATGAACAATCTCATACTAGCCACTGCACCGTGCGACTGCTGAGAACACCTGTATGTGGGAGCTCTATACTAGAAACTCAAAATGAGCCAGCATAGAGACATCAACCCAAAAGGAACAGAATTAGTGTCTCATATACCCTAGACCCATCTAATTACACCGGCCCAAAAAACATCTCTAATCCCTCAAAAAGAGCATGTTTGACCCTCTAAATTCTTGCAATATATTCACACTCAATCCGTCTCTCATACAGAGCGATGTGAGTTGCCGACAGTGAATATATAACAGTGGTGTAATACTAGATGATCTTCCCTTTGCCTTCATGCCATTTAGTTTAGGATTGACCGCTTTCCCAGTGATGTCCCTTAAGGCCGAATCATACATGACCTCAGGCAATATACCAAAGTAGGAGAACATCAACCCCTTACCTTATGACATAGTCAAAAGTCACAAAATGGTACATAAATGAAAGTCATATCAATAATGACACGTAAGACTCACACGGTGAGGAAGCAGGGATCCATTCTCTCACCTCATTACTCGGTCGCCAAGCACATATAGTATGAATACATGCTACGGTGGAGTAACTCTTCCATAAAGAGTGACGTCATACTTGATACACCGTACATATATTAGTCTAGTCGCTTTCTAGCGCCTAACCCGAATTCTCTATTTGCTCGCCTTCCAGGCGCCAAATAAGATCTCGTATCTGGCTAATCATAATAGGCATAACATGGAAAGTGGGTACTAACATCCATGTTTGGTCCTTAACACAACCTCATCTTGGTTGTAACCAAGGCGACATGCATAATGGATTATTTAAGCCTCTCTTGGCTCCAAATAAAAGTAAACCACTAGTCTCAGCCTTGCTCGCTCCCAAGCGCCAAGGGTGATTGCTCGTGTTAGTGAGCCAATCTTGCTTGCTGACATCATCATCTGCTAATCATTATGACACAAACCATAATAGTGTCAACATCCCATCATCTAAAAATAAGTGATCGATTTTAAAAAAAAATTTGACCCCAGCTTGTGCAATTTTAGATTCCAAACATAAGCCTTATCAGCACTTCTTACGATAAGTATATACAACGAAATCCACCATGTGCGCCTCACATGAAGTGATTCAAGATCACAATTCTAGATTCCAAACATAAGCCTTATTAGCACCTCTTGCGATAAGTATATACAACAGAATCCACCATGTGCGCCTCACATGAAATGATTTAAGATCACTACCTCTTGCGCAACAACCTCTCTAAAGATATTTTTGGTGACCAATTTGCGTTCATTCTTAATGCGCCCAACTAGCGCAGATGCGCCCAACTAGCGCATTGAATCTTACAAGGAGCAAATTAATATACTACTAGTAAAGTATTTTATCCACAATCTAATGAGCATGGTCAATGTCTAAACAACTCAGTTGACCATTTACTAAAGATAACACTTATCATGCCAAATACGCCCACATAGCGTACTTTAGGCTCCCACAACAAAGAAAAGATCAAGGAATATAGGTTATCTGTTTCTCCCAAAGACAATCCGTGGATTCACTTAATAGCTAAGTCTCTAGCTTTTACCGATAGGTAAGTCAATGGATTTGCTATTTTGCATCTAGAATCATTCTAGGATATTCTTTATGTAAGTCATCGAAGACAAATCGAGAATTTTCCTAAAACAATCCCTAAGGATCGTACATCCGAGCATATAAATTACATCACCCATGTCCATCATATCTAAAATAGAGGACCGCCCACCCTAGGTGGCGACAATCTTATAAATTCTTGGCTCATAATGAAGTAAGGAAAAAGTTCTTTTTGGACCATTGATCATACCTCAGTGGTCTTCATCGATCATCGTCGGCCTATCATGGCTTGAGGAAATCTAAGAACCACTATTTGAATAACTGTTTTAGGCTGTAAAAGATTTATTGGAACTAGCAACCTTTTTGTGCTCCTAACTTTTCACCATAAAAGTAGAAGGTAAATCCCTACGGATCTACTTATCCAATTCTCCAACGAGAAGTTGGGTCACAATGTACACAAATCAATGTTCCGAACTTATGTCAATCATAGCCTAAGTCGAAATAACCTCACTCTCCAGGAGGAAGTCTTCTCATGGCCTACACTTTTCTCAATGGTGCGACTTTTCGGTATCTAGCGAGCCTTATGCCTCAACAATGACTATCCAAATTACGCATAACTTTAGAACAATTTTGTGTCATAATGGAAAGTCAACCAAATTATAGAAATGGTTAATCCTTAAAGACTTTGTCTTAAACTGCGCAACATTAATCCACTTTTTAAAAACAGGGGCTAGAGCCTTTGGCATTATCCTAGGCTCTTTATCATCTTGCGGAGCAATCATGAATGTTTCCCTCTTAATCACCTAGTGATGATGTGAAAATTTTTCATATTTGCTACCACGCAACTAGGAATGTAGAGTATTCTTCTCTAATGGAGTAATCCATTAGCAGGCACATCGCTCCCACTGTCCCTAGGATATTGGAAATTTCTTTCCATTCTTAACTAGGCTATATAAAGCGCTATGCTTAGAATTCTCTATCTTATAGAGTTCCAAAACTCTATTCACGTCACCTTTACTAAGAAAACTTTATGTGACTTAGTTACACTACCACAAAGCTGCTTACCTATATGCACATGACCCGGAGGGTTTGCATGACCGCATACAATAATGCACCACACGACCCTTTATGTTTACAAGACATCATACAATAATGCGCTATAGAACCCTAGGTCTTAACTTCGCAATCTTATGAGAAGTAAAATAAAGATAAGCTGCTTTACGGTTATAGATCGCCCATAGATGGCTCTCTGCTAACCCATTACTCAAATGGAGTGCAAAAACTGATATGAAGGGCATTTAGTTAGAGATATAGGCAACAAACTAAAGTGCAATTCCCAATTGGGAAACATTTTGCGCCATCATCCACCTAACATTAACAATACTTAATTCCTTATCTCTACTACACCATTGTGTTGTTAAGTATTAGGAATAATCAATTTTCTAAGCATCCATTTCTCTTCACAGAGTTTTCAAAAATAACTCTAATAGATACTCGCCACCTTGGTCAAAACTAAAAACACGAAAGCTGTTATCTAATTGATCTCAACCTCATATGTGCAATGTCAAAAATCATCTCAAAACTTTTGACTTATGGGAGATCAAATAGTCTTGACTCAGATGCGTATCGTAATCTATAAATGTCTCAAGATTGAGGCTTAGCTATCATACCCTTACACATATCTAGTCACAAATATCATAGTGGACTAAATGCACCAATACAAATGACCTTCTACAACTTTCCTACTTACTTGTGCGCAACCATTGCGAACAAAGTTACACATTCATATGAGAGCAGGATGTCACAAGCGAGTGGGCCCAAGAGGGCCTACTCCAAACATCCATACATCTTCTCATTAATGTGATTAAGTATAATAAGCCACCGGTTCATGACCAATGTCATAAACTAATTCCAATAATCCTTATGTGTGAGTTTTTGAAGACAAGTTTTAAAGGTTTGGGCCCAACTAGGTAATGACTCGCGACTAATTCATATTCACTAGATCATAAAAGGATGTCATGGAGATATTAAGTGCGCCTAAGTCGCAAATTTAACTAGTAAGTGCTAATCCCCTGCACCTTCAAGTCAATTTTATTCTCAGATATCAAGTGCGCCTAAGTTGCAAATTTAACTAGTAAGTGCTAATCCCCTGCATCTTCAAGTCAATTTTATTCTCCACACACTTTACTGTATCTAGTTGAAAGATGGCGATACTTATTTTGCCATTTCTATTTCTCGCTTCATAGTTACTTGCAATTAATTCTACTATCCACAAGAAGGAGAGAATAAGCTATCAACTATGACAGCTCCTGAAGTAACTTAAGCGTGGATTAGGCTAAAGAGTCTAATTCAACACAATGCTCTCACAAGCGATGCGTCAAATTCTTAGAGTCATAACAACCTTGTCAGCCTTGACCTTTTCATTACTATGCTGCAACGTTTGCGCTTAGTGGTAAACGTTATTAAAAAATGTTAGCCTAGCTAAGGAATCATACAAAGAAGCCCCTCCTCATGTTTCACACTCAAGTGTGGAAATAGTAAGTGTCCAGACTTAGACAAGTTGACAATGCTAATAGATTTTGCAGCCACTAAGCGCTAATC